TCTATGTGCATCTACGTGCCTGCCTCTTTATTCATCTTCTCATCGTCCCTTTTGCTCTTTTTTTTTTTTTCTTCCAAAATTGCTATTGATTAATGCAGAGGAGGAATCATTATGACAGTTCCCACGCAGTACTATGTATGTTATTGGCTACCCCGTCGTTAGAGCAAGAAAGACTGAAAGTTCGTAGAAATTTCCCGCGAAGTTTCTGCAATCTTTAAACGAAGTGTCCACAAGTTCCCCGACTATGAGTACGTGTCTAGCTCGTTTCTTTTTTTTTTTCACGTGTGCATTGTGTTGCGCTGTGCGTGAGGATTTTTCCTTTTCCTCTTCATATTGCACTTTTTTTTTTTTTTTTTTTTTTTTTTTTTGCAAAAAACAGGGCCTTATGGTCGTGGCTCCATATCCATTCTGGGGAGCATCAGTTCGGTTCCTTTTCCATCGGCAAGTATTGCATATTGCACCTTTTTTTGTTTCGTATTTTTCAGAATGGTACTACACACCTGGACGGAGTGCTGACTTCGATGTACGGCATGGCGATCGTCACGCCACGCGCGAAATTTGCAGAATGAGAATGAACTTCGTGCTAGAACATGGCCAGATGCACCCGCCACATTTTTGTCTTCTTCACATTTCCAGAGTGGTGCGGCCAGATGCACCCATTTCTTGCTTGGGAGGTTTCATTGGCAGGATCATGATCCTCAGACTGTCTATAGGCTGCGCTTTTTTTTTTTTTTTTTTACCGATTTGGGCAATTGGACCCACTTCTGTCTCGTAGTAGGGTCCCAATAGGATGTCGATTATATGGATGCTTGATCTAAGATAAGAGAATCGAACTTGGGTCTGCTCCACAATAATGGGCCTCGCTGCACTACTCTGGAAATGTGCAAAACGAGAGTGAATCTTCCGCTAGAACATGGAGAGATACACGGCCATGATTTTTGTCTTTTGTGCATTTCAAGAGTAGTGCAGCGAGGCCCAATGACTGCAGTCCCCTATAACACGTTTATTCCACTCGCACCCCTTTTTTTTTTTTTTTTTTTTTTTTTTTTAATAAAAGAGAACGGCATTGAGATTTTGGCATTGAACTGACCAGCCCCATGTAATTCAGGAATATATCTGGACTTGTATCTGTACGTCTATCAGGACCAGATCAGGACCAGAAATGTATCGGACCTTTATTAGGAGCAGATACATTGAACTGACAGGTCTCATTCATCGGGTTCCGTCGTATGGATTCGAACTTGGGTCTGTATTTCAGCAGTTCTTGGGTGTACCAATTGGGCCGAGCTCCCAGTAACAAAAAGGATAGGATCGAGCTCCTGAATCTGGATGTGTTTTGTGCAGAGATGCAGAAAAGCAGTTCAATCTCGATTTCCTGCACATCTCCATAACCTCGTCCAGATTCAGGCATTCGATCCGATCCTCTTTGCTTGCGGGACCACGCCCCTGAAGTAGGCTCATTGAACCATCTATTTATTTTCACTGCCCTCGATGTTTCGTAGTCAAAGAATTACACAAAAAAAAACAAAAAAAATTAAATAAAAATGCTAGCTCATTGATCCATCTTTTTTTTTTTTTTTTTTTTTTT